AGGCTCCCGGTGTTCTTCCGTTTTCCCCTCCACGGGGATTTCAGCATTTGCTGCTGGTTTTCCACCTGGACGTCATCGGTCCGTCAGAGCGGTGCTTCCGCTGCAGCGTGGCCCACATTTCTGAGTCGGTGCATGGGCGCTCGCGCCACAGCGCGAGCGCCGCACGTCTGGATCTGCTTCACGTCTCGTCGTTCCTGTCCCCCTCCTTCCCCCTTCCCTAGCTTCCGCTCCTCCTCCTCCTCCTCCTCCTCCTCCTCCTCCTCCTCTTCCTTGATGGGCCACCTCCTGTGACGGCCATTTCAGCACCAAGTTCGTCTAGAACATCCCACTCGGCCGATAACAGAGGAGTCAACGCAGTGAGAAGGGATGAGTGGGAGGCGTAGGTTGTCAGATGTAGCGCGAGCGTGCCTAGCCTACCCCTGCACATCCCGCCTCCCCCTCCCTCATCTACGACAGATGCCCCTCCCCTCTTCTCCATCCCGATTTCTCCCTTCTACCCGGGAAGGAGCAGGAGGGATGAAGGAGAATTCCAGAAGGCAGGCTGGGTTCGGGCGGCCCACTTGATCGGCAGCATGAGCTTTCCGAGGTAGACCTCGGATGTTGGGCGAGAAATTTGTAGACCACATCAGGTGTTCCAGGCTTTGCAACAGAAGAGAAGGGATCCTCTCCCTCCCTCCCTCCCTCCCTCGGACATTGTGGGATCGTGTCTACTCCTCCTGCATCCCGCATTCTGCTCCATTCTCCTCCGTCGGCCTCCTTCCTCGTCGTCTTCCTCCTGGGTCGCAGCTCCGCCCTCCTCCGCCACGGCCCCCCGTCCTCCTCCACCTCCCTCGCCAGCCCTGGCTTCCCTTGGACCCCGTCTCGCCTGGCTCCGAATTTTGACAGCCTCTACGCGACGTTTCCACTTTGTCACTGGCTCCGAATTTTGATAGCCTCTACACCCTACAGGATAATTAAGAAAAAGCAACTTCGGAGCCAGGGTCTGGATTTTCTTAACCCTATTTAAGAAAATCTGAGTTCCAGGGTAGACTATTGAGATTTTCTTAAGTATGTAAGATAGACGCCGAAACAAAACAAGAAGAAGGAGGAGAAGGCGGAGGAGGAGAGCGCGGAGGAGGAGGAGGAGGAGGAGGCGGAGGAGGAGGGGGGCATCTGAGCATTTGAATTGATTGGCATCATGTGCATTTCAATTGATTGACATTGTGCATCGCCGTCGGAACCGGAATGGGTTGCTTTTGGTATGCTTGAATTGACGGTCGTTCCTTCCGTTCCCGTCCCGTTCCGTTCCGTTCCTCCCGTATATATTCATGTTGGTTTATACCGGATATAATACTATAGATCGTTGGTTTTGTAATGATACCGGAGTTATTTTTCGGCGGTAATCGTTGGTTTATCGGCCGCATTTTTATTTATATTTATACCGGAATTGACAGTAATTACCGGGCAGCGGCAGCAGCAGTGGCAGCAGCTTATAAGGAGGAGCAAGGAGGAGGAAGCAGATCTTCTTTTGTCTTTCTCTCTTGCTTGCTTTCTCTACTCTTTCCCTCCTCCCTCCCGGCTTTGCCATAACATGCCCGCTGCCCCCCTTAGCGGCAGCCGCGAGGCGCCGCATGATTCGTTGTTCCCGTGGTCCTGTGGTCCCGTGGCGCGGCAGAGCTGGGTTTCGCGCTGCCTTCCGCCTGAGCGCGGCTGCGCCTCGCTCGAAGCCCGCGGGGTTGTCCGAACGGTTTGGTCTTGCGCGCCAACGGCTCGCGAGGTTGTCCCGACAGCGTGTCGTCTGACTCTGTGGTCCCCTGGCTTGATTATTTGGTGTCTGTTAAAAAACGCAAAAAGACATTAAACGAAAGGTTCGCGATTCAAGAGAAAGATATTAGAGTTTCGTGTCATTGTGGCCTTCTAGCCTTCATATTGGTAGCGTGTCTAAAAAAACGCAAAACACATATTAAACGAGAGTTTCGCAGTCCGAGAGAATCATATCAGAGTTTTAGTTCTCGTGATCTTGTGTTGTCCTGATTCGTTAGTCATGTAGTCACATGGCTCGATTATTCTGTCTCCTTGTGGCCTTCATATTGGTAGCGTGTCTAAAAAAAAAAGCAAACACACATTGAAACAGAGATTCGCGGTCCAGAAGGAAGATATTAGAGTCTCAGTTGTCGTGAACCCCTGTTGTCCTGATTCGCTGGTCGCGGCGTTTTGGTGTTCAAATTTGCTGGTCGCGGCGTCCTCGTGCTCGAATTTGCTGTTTGTAGCATTTCGGTGCTCAAATTCGCTGTTTGCGGCGTTTCGGTGCCAAAATTTATTGCTTGCAGCGTTTCGGTGGTCGGATGCGCCGCCTGCTGCGTTTCGGTTCTGATGCTGTTTCCGCCGCCTCGGTGCTCAAATTTGCTGTTTGCGGCGTTTCGGTGCTGAAAAGTGCTGTTTATGGCGTTTCGGTGCTCAAATTTGCTCTTGCAGCGTTTCAGTGTTCGAATGTGCTGTTTGCGGCATTTCGGTGCTCAAATGTGTTCTTTGTGGCATTTTGGTACTCAAATTCGGAATTTCTAGCGTTTTGAAGCTTAAATTAGCTGTTTGCGGAGTTCGGTTGTCAAATTTGTTATTTGTTGCGTTTCCGTGCTCTAATGTGCTGTTTACTGCATTTCGATGCTGAAATCTGTTGATTGCGACGTTTCGGTGCTGATAGGTCCGTTTGCTGCGTTTCGGTGTGCGAAATTGTTGTTTGCGGCGCTTCGGTGTTCTAATGTGCCGTTTGCGGCGTTTTCGGTGTGCATTTTTTTGTTTTGTTGCGCGCCTCGCTGCTCTCATTTGCTGCTTGCTGCATTTCGGTTGTCAAATTTGCCGCCATCTGCGGCGTTTCCGTGCTCAAATTTGCCGTTTGCAGCGTTTCGGTGCTCACATTTGCTGTTTGCGGCGTTCCTGATGTCAAATTTGCCGTTTGCTCCGTTTCGGTGTTCATGCTGTTTACAGCGCTTCTGTGCTGAAATATGTTGTTTGCAACGTTTTGGTGTTCAAATTTGTTGTTTGCGGCGTTTTTGTGTTCGAATTGGTTGTATGCGGATTTTCGGTTGTCATATTCGCTGTTTGTGGCGCTTGGGTATTCAAATATATTATTTTTTCAAATGATGTTTTATGCTATCATGTATTGATCTCTATAGCCCGGGGTTTCTGTAGATCCAGACCCAGACCGCGGGTTAAGAAAACGGGGTTTCCAGAGTCTGTTTTCTTAGGTTAAAGTTTTCTTAATTAAAATTCCCGGTGTACGCGACGTTTCCACTTTGTCACCGTACTCGTCCCAGCCTTGCCCCCTGCTTGGCGGCGCGCAACGGGGGGGGGCAGCCTCGTCGTGCGGGCTAGGGGCTCCGAAGGAAAGGGGCCGCCGTCTGCCCGACCTCGGGCCCCCAGGGCCCTCCCGAGCCTGGGCATCGGCAACCCTCGGGGCGGGGCTCCAGTCGGGGGCGGAAAAGAGGGGGGGGGTGATGACGGGGGGGGGGAGATATCAGGGCGGGGCCATGATATTTCCCCAGGTTTCATGGCGCCTCTCTTATTTCAGTACGTCCCTGGCCCCCCCCGCTGGGCCGCGCACATGCCGCTGGTCATGATTTGCCCCCCCCCCCCCCCCCCCCTCTTGGACACCCCCCTCTTGGCCGCTCCCGATCAAGGGACTGGGGTCGGCGCAGACGAGGGTCCGCCAGAGCGCCGGATCTTGCAGGGTCCTGCAGGGCCAGTGGTGCACTGACCAGGGCTTGTGTGCAGGATCTTGCAGGCTCCTGCAACGTCTGACTGACCTGGGTTTGCTCGGACGGGGCTAGGACGAGGAGGATAAATCCGTTCCAGAGCGTCCCAGAACGTTCTCAGGGCGTTCTGGAACGCTCTGAGAAGGCCGTGACGCACGATGCGTCCTCCAGAGCCGCAGGATCTCAGAGGTTCTCGATTTATCTCACCCGAATGTGTCCTCGTCCTGGCTCCGTCTTATCTGCCTTGGCCCGAGTCAGTACACGTCCCCGAGACGAGCCGACCCAGGACGACGAGCTGGTCCTGCGGAAAGCTCCCGAGGCACAGGACCCGTTTCCCTCTGGACCCGCTTCTCTCACGCCCGGCCAGGGCTGCAGTTAAGTCGGGCCTGTCCCTCTACAGGCGGACCATTCGAAAATAGCGAAATATACAGAATGGGGACGATGTTTGACCCTTTTCGATAATTGTTGGAGTACTTTTTGGCTATCTTTTATTATTCTTCCACAACCCGCCTGTAGGGGGACATGCCCGACCTAGGGCTACGGATCAGGCGATCGCAAACATGGATCAAGGGGGCGTGGATCAGCGACGGTCCCGTTTCTGTGGGAAATCGCGGGTTCCTGCCGCCAAACGAGGCGGCACCGGCCGCATTCTGGGGAGGGTGCCTCCCCCGATCCATGGATTGGGCGACCGCGCGCCGAACCCACGGGTCGATAGTCCGTGCCTGCGCGCCCCCGACGAGAAGGCAGCGGGCCGCCGAGAGCGGGCTGGCACGCTCCAGCGCTCTGCGACCCCGCGCCCTCCGAGAGGCGTGGAGGCCTCTTCAGAAGACCGCCCCCCCCCCGATGGCCCCCCTCCCGATGTAGTGTTAAGTCGGGCATGTTCCTCTACAGGGGGAAGGTTCAAAAATGGCTGAAAGATAGCCTGGGCGCGAGGCCTTGAGCATCCTCTGGCTATCTTCACATATGGTTGGACAATTTTTTCAGCTTCTCCTCCCGCATCCGCCCCTGTGGGGGGACATGCCCGACTCAAATGTAGTGTTCCCCCCCCCCCCCACCCCCACGACGTGGGCCCCGAAGCTCTCGACCCCTCGGTTCGGGTCGGGCGAAAGGGGGGGGTTGGGAAAGGGGGGGTTACGAAATCTGCTGCATGCAGCTGGTTTCGGCCCCGCCGCCGGGCCCATTCCTCGATACATGGGCGCCTCCCGGCGCCGGGAGGCGCCAGGAAAATCAGCTACGTGAGCTGATTCTCAAACCCCCCCTTTGCTATCCCCCCCTTTCGCCCGACCCGATCGGTCCACTCACCTCGTCGCGGGCTGGTCACCGGGCCCAGGACTGGCCCCCCGGAGGCCCACACCGGCGAGACGTCCGCCGTGCGTTTCCTTTGCTGCTGCGCCGCCCCCGCCGTCCACGGCCAGCTGCCGGTGTCCCGAGCTGCGTCGGGCCGTGGCCGCAAGCGCAGGGCTCGAGGCGGGCCAGGATCCCACCGGAGGCCGAATCCCCCGGAGAGATCGGCCCTCCCGAAGTCGGCACCAACGAAGCGGGTGCGGAGAGAACGGGTGCAGTGCCCAACAGCAGTTCCTATTCGTATTGCACAGGACTCGCTGCCTGCGCCGCCGCGGCCTGTGTCCATGTGGGGCAGAAGGCCGCCTGCCCAGCAGCGGCCGCTTGGTTGGGGACAGCATCATCAGCAGCAGCAGCGGGGTTTGGGTCAGCAGCAGCAGCGGGGTTGGGATAGAAGGCCGCCTGCCCAGCAGCGGCCGCTGCTGGTTTGGGACAGCATGTGTTCTTGGGCATGGTGCCCAGTTGTTTCCGCACCCACTTCGGGCGCCCCAACGAAGGTGGAGCCCGCCACCGCCCCTTCCTGCGGGGCCCCGCCGCCTTTCCGAGGGGGGCCTGCGGTCCTCGGGTCCTGAAAAAAAGGTCGGATGCGGTCGGGCCGAGGTAATTATGATGGATCGAGGTCGGCTCGGGGAGGGCCCCCCACTGTTCTTCGTGCCCGTTGACTGCTCTTGTGCATCCAGGGTGGAGGATCAGGGCTGGACCCAAGCGGTGTTTTTGGCGATTTCGTGGGATGTTTTCGTTCCGACTTGGTTCTGAGGTAGAGGCGGACTTGAGACAAAAGCGAGGGACAACGACAACAACACGAAAACGAAAAGCACCGTTTAGGCTCAACCCTGTGGAGGACGCCCCCGAAAGTTCTTCAGCTTGGCCAGTGGAGGGTCTCGTGCTCTTGAGGGATGCTCTCCTTCTGCCCGGGTCCGGCCGTACCCGGCCCGGCGGCCGTGCGGGGCGGCGCGGGCGCCCTCGGGAGCCTCTCGGCGAGGCGCAGCCACGGAACAGCGCAGCCCGAGGCGGGGAGCAGCCGCACGGGGCCGACGACAGGCCAGCCACAAGTGGGGGAGCTGTGGTCCTTTACCCCCCTGGGGGACCCATCGATTTCGACACCCCTCTCGAGAGGCCGTCGACGCGATGGGTTCCCCCAGGGGGGGTAAGGACCACAGCTCCCCCATGTATGGCTGGTCGGGACGAAGACGCCCTCGTGCCTCGAGCCTCGAAGCCGAGACTCCCTCTTCACGGGAGGAAGACCACCCGGACCGGACAATTGGCGTTTACTAAACGGCCCTGGGCGTTTACTAGACAGCCCTGCCCTGTTCGATTCCTTCTTGGGGCGCGTTTACTGAGGGCCTCGCGTGTCGGGGTGGTTATTATCGAGGTGGATTTTCTGCACTCTAATTACCTCTGCCCTCCCCTGATTTCGGATTCGCCGTATTTTCGCGGATGCTCCCACTGAAACATGGCGTCGGGAAGTGCACCCCAATCGATGCGAACAAGTAGGGTGGGAATTTTCGCCTCAGAGAAATTAGGGCGAATGCAGAGAAGGCCCATGCCCAGAAACACCCTGCTTGCCTCGAGGGTGCCCAGGGTTCCTTGGGTTTCGATGGTCCTGCTGTGGAAGCATGACGTCCCCAAACCGAAATCAAGGGACGCCCTGGGGTCTCGGGGTTGGGTTTCTTGTGGGAGGTTTCTTGTGCACTGGCCTCCACTGTATTTCTGCGAAGGCATGGCGAAAACAGCAAGGGCAAAGCAGGGCGCGGACATCTTCGCCAGAGGAGCGGAACAGCAGGGCGGATATGTCCGCCCTATGCTTGCGGTAGGCTTGCGCCGCGTTGGCGCGGCGGCGACCCCAGCGCGGGCGTTCAGGGCTAAGCGCCGTCAGTGGCGGCCGATGTCGAGTGCGATACGTGTCGGGGAACCGCGACCTATCGAGGTTGAACGATCCATGCGGCGTTAGAAGCCAACGCCCGCGACACCGCGACGCGGACCGGCCGTACGAAGTCGCCCAGGAGTGCGGCCGATCCGAAATCGGGATCTCAGACATGATATGTCCTGATTGTAAATTGCGCGCTCCCCGGAAGGCCCGACCCTTTCCCGGTACTGGTTGTTCGCCTTGGGTCGTTTATTGATTGTTCCGGGGCCGCTGAGGGCCTCGATTATCATCGATCATCGAGAACCAAAGAACCCTTAACCCTAACAACACGATGAAGACGTGGCCTCATGTAGGTTTACGTCTTCGCATTCGGGCTCATAATTCTGTGTGGTTGAGTTTGATACATCTGCAGACCACCCATCCCTGATGTTCACGGCCCTCCTAACTGATGATGCCCCCTCCCAATGGGCCAGGGGTATTCTTATATTGCTTGTCGCGAGAGGCCGAAAACTACGAAAAGCTGTCCGTCGTGTTCTTAACGACGCGATCATGTCTGGGGTTATGATGTTCTAACATACTCTAGCCTTGATCGCAAGAGATAATTCCGAGCACCAGAATCAGCACTCTTTCGACACTCTTCCGGGTGCCCGAAGTCATTTCTGGGACGTGGTCCTCTCGTACGAGGGAGCAACGCATTACCAGCCTGGAACATATCCCTATCCCTATGCTGGGCACCTCCTCATCACGATGTCAATCTTAGGGATTCCCTTATTCCCCACATCCTGAGTGGGGTTCTTGTTTTCCCAAAACATCCTCTCCTTCTCCCTCCCGCCTCCCGCCTCCTTTACATTGTTTCGTGCCCCTCCCACCCCTCCAGGGAGGCCCCGTCTGAGCGAGGAGGGTTTCGGAAAACCATACTATTCACATGGTTTCGTGCCCCTCCCACCCCTCCAGGGAGGCCCCGCCTGAGCGAGGAGGGTATCCGAAACCAATACTATTTACATGGTTTCGCGCCCCTCCCACCCCTCCAGGGAGGCCCCGCCTGAGCGAGGAGGGTATCGGAAACCCATACTATTTACATGGTTTCGTGCCCCTCCCACCCCTCCAGGGAGGCCCCGCCTGAGCGAGGAGGGTTTCGGAAACCCATACTATTTTCATGGTTTCGTGCCCCTCCCACCCCTCCAGGGAGGCCCCTCCTGAGCGAGGAGGGTATCGGAAACCCATACTATTTAAATGGTTTCGTGCTCCTCCCACCCCTCCAGGGAGGCCCCGCCTGAGCGAGGAGGGTATCGGAAACCCATACTATTTACATTTTTTCGTGCCCCTCCCGCCCCTGGAGGCCCCGCCTGAGCGAGGAGGGCATCGGAAACCCATACTATTTACATGGTTTCGTGCCCCTCCCTCCCCTCCAGGGAGGCCCCGCCTGAGCGAGGAGGGTATCGGAAACCCATACTATTTACATGGTTTCGTGCCCCTTCCACCCCTCCAGGGAGGCCCCGCCTGAGCGAGGAGGGCATCGGAAACCCATACTATTTAAATGGTTTCGTGCTCCTCCCATCCCTCCAGGGAGGCCCCGCCTGAGCGAGGAGGGCATCGGAAACCGTGCCCTTCCCACCTCTCCAGGGATGCCCCACCCGAGCGAGGAGGGTATCGGAAACCCATACTATTCACATGGTTTCGTGCCCCCCCCACCCCTCCAGGGAGGCCCCGCCTGAGCGAGGAGGGTATCGGAAACCCATACTATGTTCATGGTTTCGTGCCCCTCCCACCCCTTCAGGCAGGCCCCGTCAGCGAGGAGGGTACCGGAAACCCATACTATTTCAATGGTTTCGTGCCCCTCCCACCCCTCCAGGGAGGCCCCGCCTGAGCGAGGAGGGCATCGGAAACCCATGCTATTTTCATGGTTTCGTGCCCCTCCCACCCCTCCAGGGAGGCCCCGTCTGAGCGAGGAGGGTATCGGAAACTCACACTATTAAAATGGTTTCGTGCCCCTCCCACTGACATGGGTGAGGAGGAGGGGAGAACATTACCTATCCATCTCACGTCCTACTCCTTCCACTGAGGAGGGTGAGGAGGAGGGGGAGTTCTGCGATGAGGAAGGCTTCATCATGATGATGGTGATGACGATGGTTATGCTGCTGTTCACGATGACGATGACGATGGCGATAATGGTGATGGACGATGACGATGGCGATAACGGCGATTATGATGATGCTGCTGATGATGATGCTGCTGATGATGATGACGATGACGATGATGATGATGATGATGATGATGATGATGATGATGATGATGATGATGATGATGATGATGACGATGACGATGACGATGATGACAACGACGACGACGAGGATGATGATGCAGATGCTGGTGATGATGACGATGCTGCTGCTGATGCTGACGTTGCTGGTGCTGTTGATGATGATGACGACGATGATGCTGATGATGATGACGTCCACGATGATGCGGACGATGATGATGCCAAGGACGGTGATGGTGACGATGGTGACGATGATGACGATGACGATGATGGCGACGACGACGACGACGATGACGACGACGACGATGATGATGATGATGATGATGATGATGATGATGATGATGATGAAGATGTCGATGACGATGACGCTGCCGACCCTCCTCCTTCTCATGTTCATAGTCCTGGTCATCCTCCCGCTGCTGCTCCTGCTGCGGTTCCTGCTGCTGCTCTTCACCATCATCCATCTTATCCTCTTCCTCCTCCTCCTCCTCCTCCTCTTCCTCCTCCTCCCCCAGGAGGGTATCGGAAAACAATACAGTTTACACGGTTTCGTGTCCCCTCTCCACTCCTCCAGAGAGGCCGCGCTTGAACGAGGAGGGTCGCGGAAAGCATTACTCTTTACCAGGTTTCGTAGCCCTCCATCTTCCAGCGGGGCCCCGCCAGAGCGAGGAGGGTATCAAGAGACCGTACTAATTACAAGGCTTCGTTTCCTGAGCACCTGTCCTCCCTCCTCCTTTCTTTCGTCTGCCCTTTCGTGCGTACTTACTCGTTCGATGAGCTTCTCCTTCGTGTTGATGTTGTCGTACCCCATGGGTCCCACGAAACCGTTAATATCTTTATGTGGGGAACTCCGTTAGCATACTTCCCCACATCCTACGTGGGGTTCTTATTCTCTCTGCACACCCTCCGCGCAGGATCTCTCCTCCTCCTCCTCCCTCTCCTCTGCTCCTCTTTGCTTCCCCCTCCGCATCACCATCACCATCACCATCACTCCCCACTCATCATCATCATCACCATCAGCATCACCATCACCACCCCACGATCACTCACCATCATCGGCATCGAACGATCATCATCATCATCATCATCATCACTACTCGCTGACTTGAGGCCTGAATATGGAGGAAGTCTCGAGCGGGAACCCCGTCTGTGAGTGAATTGCGAGGAAGTCTCAGGCGGGAGCCCCCTCCCTATGGGGCCCGCACTTCATGTTTGAATCCGAGCGGGTCATCCGCAACGTGCAACTGTCGTCACCTTTGGGCCCTTGAGATTTGAATATGGAGGAAGTCTCGAGCGGGAGCCTCGTTTGTGAGTGAATTGCGAGGAAGTCTCAGGCGGGAGCCCCCTCCCTATGGGGCCCGCACTTCATGTTTGAATCCGAGCGGGTCATCCGCAACGTGCAACTGTCGTCACTTTTGAGGCTCTTGAGACTTGAATATGGAGGAAGTCTCGAGCGGGAGCCTCGTCTGTGAGTGAATTGCGAGGAAGTCTCAGGCGGGAGCCCCCTCCCTATGGGGCCCGCACTTCATGTTTGAATCCGAGCGGGTCATCCGCAACGTGCAACTGTCGTCACTTTTGGGCTCTTGAGACATGAATATGGAGGAAGTCTCGAGCGGGAGCCTCGTCTGTGAGTGAATTGCGAGGAAGTCTCAGGCGGGAGCCCCCTCCCTATGGGGCCCGCGCTTCATGTTTGAATCCGAGCGGGCATCCGCAACGTGCAACTGTCGTCACTTTTGGGCTCTTGAGATATGAATATGGAGGACGTATCAGGCGGGAGCCTCGTCTGTGAGTGAATTGCGAGGAAGTCTCAGGCGGGATCCCCCCTCCCTATGGGGCCCGCACTTCATGTTTGAATCCGAGCGGGTCATCCGCAACGTGCAACTGTCGTCACTTTTGGGCTTTTGAAATTTGAATATGGAGGAAGTCTCGAGCGGGAGCTTCGTCTGTGAGTGAATTGCGAGGAAGTCTCAGGCGGGTGCCCCCTCCCTATGGGGCCCGCACTTCATGTTTGAATCCGAGCGGGTCATCCGCAACGTGCAACCGTCGTCACTTTGGGGCTCTTGAGGCCTGAATATGGAGGAAATATCAGGCGGGAGCCTCGTCTGTGAGTGAATTGTGAGGAAGTCTCAGGCGGGAGCCCCCTCCCTATGGGGCCCGCACTTCATGTTTGAATCCGAGCGGGTCATCCGCAACGTGCAACTGTCGTCACTTTTAGGCTCTTGAGATTTGAATATGGAGGAAGTCTCGAGCGGGAGCCTCGTCTGTGAGTGAACCGCGAGGAAGTCTTAGGCGGGAGCCCCCTCCCTATGGGGCCCGCACTTCATGTTTGAATCCGAGCGGGTCATCCGCAACGTGTAACTGTCGTCACTTTTTGGGCTCTTGAGGCCTGAATATGGAGGACGTATCAGGCGGGAGCCTCGTCTGTGAGTGGATTTTGAGGAAGTCTCAGGCGGGAACCCCCTCCCTATGGGGCCCGCACTTCATGTTTGAATCCGAGCGGGTCATCCGCAACGTGCAACTGTCGTCACTTTTAGGCTCTTGAGATTCGAATATGGAGGAAGTCTCGAGCGGGAGCCTCGTCTGTGAGTGAATTGCGAGGAAGTCTCAGGCGGGAGCCTCCTCCTTATGGGGCCCGCATGTTTGAATCCGAGCGGGTCATCCGCAACGTGCAACTGTCGTCACTTTTGGGCTCTTGAGATATGAATATGGAGGAAGTCTCGAGCGGGAGCCTCGTCTGTGAGTGAATTGTGAGGAAGTCTCAGGCGGGAGCCCCAGGAGGAAGAGGAAAGGGCAAAGGGTAAGCTAAACAGATTCTCATGTGGGGTCCTACCGTCGGAGTAATTTTTTGAGGGCGAATCCCTAAGATTGTCATCGCCTTTTGGCGTGTCAATCTTAGGGATAGGGATACGTTCGAGGCTGGTAAAACATGAGTCTGGGCCCCCCCGGGCGCGCCGCCAGCAACCTCCAGCGGCGATGGCGCGCTCTGTGCTTCGGGGGCTGGCCTCCTGCTGCGCCCTCGCCGTCGGCGGCACCGCTCTCGCGCTCGACGAGCAGTCCCTGATCCAGACCGTCGCGCGGCAGGCCCCGCGGACGGCCTCGCCCCCTCCCCCCTCCGGAGGAGGGGGGGAAGGGGAAGGGAGGGCCCTTTTGACGAGGAGGAGGAGGAGGAGGAGGAGGAGGAGGAGGAGGAGGAGGGAGAAGGGGGGAAGGGGGGAAGGAGGAGTCGCGCTGATGCGCCAGGCTGACACGCCTTTGCCCGCTGAGGGTGGCCTCAGCTTTGCTGCTCGCTAGTGTTCACTGAACCTGGCCGGCATGGGAAATGAGAAATGAGAGATGGAGGAGGAGGAGGAGCAGGAGGAGGAGGAGGAGGAGGAGGAGGAGGAGACCCTTGAAGCGGTGCTCCAGGGGTCGCCTGGCACTAGTTTGATCACCCCCCCAAGGGCCGACTGGGCCTGGGGGGGGAGGGCGACATCGGTACCGAACTTCACGCCATCAGCTCACAGCTCACAGCTCACAGGAGGAGGAGGAGGAGGAGACGGAGGAGGAGGAAAAGGAGAAGGAGGAGGAGGAGGAGGAGGAGGAGGAGGAGGAGAGGAGGAGGAGAGGAGGAGGAGGAGGAGGAGGACGAGGAGGGGGACGAGGAGGAGGAGAGGAGAAGAGGAGGAGGAGAGGGAGGAGGAGGCGGAGGAGGAGGGAGGAGGGAGGAGGAGGAGGAGGAGGAGGATGAGGTGGATGAGGAGGAGGAGGAGGAGGAGGAGGGAGGAGGAGGAGGAGGAGGAGGAGGAGGAGCAGGAGGAGGAGGAGGAGGAGGAGGAGGAGGCGGAGGCGGAGGGAGGAGGAGCACGGTCGACGATCGAGGAAGCAAGCCCAGCATATATAAAAAACCTTCGGAGCTCCGCGCGGATTCCATGGATCGGCGCTTCGGGCCCCCTGCAGGTGCCTCTGGCGCGGCGCCTCCGTCGCGCCAGAGTGGGGGGAGGTCCAGAGCGCCGATCCCCAAGGGCGCAAGAAAAACGCCCCTACCCTGATTTACGAGGCGCTGTGCGCTGAACCTCCTGTGGGCTGAACCTCCTGTGCGCTGAACCTCCTGCGTGTCGCGCGCGTCTCGCGGCGTCCTGGCGGCTTTCTTGCTTCTGGAGGTTCCCAGGAGGTTGACAGACCACGCACCTGTAACCCAGGTTGGGGGGCGTTTTTGTTCACCCTTCAAGATCCAGAACATCTGCGCGGACCTCAGAGAAATAGTGGTCATGTAGTTTTGTGGTCCCTCTAGCTTGGCATCGCTCGGACGTGTGCGCTGTTCCTCGGCGAGTACCAGCGAGGAGCATGTTGGCTCATCCGACACGAAAAAGCCCACGACATCGGGCAGTGCACGGGGAATGGACGTCCGAGCCGTGGCAGGTTTCTGTAGAGGAGGGAGACGAGGGAGGAGCTTGCTTCTCTGCAGCGCCGTCATCAGCCTCTAGCCTCCAGCGGCGTCGGAAGCCCCAGCCCCTGAGCAGAGAGTGGAGCCCGGGCGGCCCGCCGGGAAGACCGACGTGTGGAGAGGAGTGGCAGTCACAGTCCACCGCCCCTCTCCGGGAGGAGGGTGGAGTGTCCCAGCTCTTGGGCGTGTTGGTCCTTTCCGGCCATCCGCATTTTTGAGCTGCTGGGAGTTCCGAGCTCTCGGGTCCCGGAGTATCATCTGCAAGGCGTGTGGCATGACTTTGAACCTCGGCTGTGCTGCGGGCGTTGCGAGAGTACGCCTCCAGTGTCCCCGAAGGGTGGCCACATTGGGCGGCCCCTGAGGGTGGACCTCTAGGGAAGCTCCTATCGGGAGCAACGAGCAGGTAGTCTGCGGTCTGGAATTTTTGGATCGTCCAGTCGCTCCGCCGGTTCTGGCCCACTACGCGTCGGCGCGACACGCCATCCACTTCCCAGTCCCCATGCTTCAGCCTCCCGAGCCTTTCCGAGCCTCCGCTCCTCGGAGCGGAGCGGAGCGACACGCTATCAGCTCGCATGCCATAGCCTGTCGCAAGGCCCCGCAGGCGCGACACGATAAGCGAAGCAAGCGTTCCCGACCGCAGCGACAGCGCAGCAGGCAGCCCAGGCTCCGGGCGCGGGCGACGGCCTGGCCACTGCGGCACCCGTGGGAACGGCCACCCGGTTGTGCTGGGCTGAGGAGAGAAGTGGCGCACGGAGAGCGAGAGGAGGAGGGAGAAGGAGGGAGAAGGGGGGAGAGGAGGGAGGGAGAGGGAGGGAGAGGAGGGAGAAGGAGGGAGAGGGAGGGAGAGGAGGGAGAAGGAGGGAGAAGGAGGGAGAAGGAGGGAGGGGAGGGAGGGTCAAGTTCTCCAGGTAGGGGAGGAGGGGCTATTCTGGAAGGGGAGGAGGGCTATTCTCCCTCCTCCAGTTCCAGGAGAGAGAGAGAGAGAGAGAGGGAGAGAGAGAGAGAGAGAGAAAGAGAAAAAGAGAGAGAGAGAGGAGGGAGAAGGAGGAAGGGCCAAGTTACCCAGGTCAACCAAGTCAGACGGCCCCGCCTATTCCCACCATACCCCCCCCACAGCAGAAGAAAGGAGTGTGGCACAACTTGATCTTGGGATTGGAACGCGCTCCCACCTCGCGGACGGAAGGCGCTCACAAGCGGACCCTCTTCCCGACGACCCTGGCGGAGGGAAAGCGACGCGGGCCGCGCAGGGGCGAGAGCGGCAAAACTACCCAAGGGCGCGGCGAAGGCATGCGCCGCTTCTCACGCAGCACTCGCACTTTCACTCACAAGCTGCGCGGCGCTCGGGCGAGGCCAGCACTCCGCCCGCTCTCGCGCGGCCCCGCTGCCGCCGTCGCCTCCACGACATGCCATGCGATCCGAGCGGCATGCGCACGGAGCCGGGGCGAGGGCAGCAGAAAGCCCACCCGCGCGGGCCCCCCCCACACACTGGCGAGTGAAAGGCATGCGCCGCGCCGAGGTGGGAGTGCCACTCCCTCAGCCAGCTTCCCTCCCCCCCTCCTCGTCTCGCTGTCCACATGCATGATCGCGTGCAATCCATACGTACAGGTTTGAAGAGGCCACGGCCTCCTCCACCAGGTCCCGAGCAGGCCGGGACAGCTGTCCGCAGTGGTGGTTCGTTCGTTCGTTCGTTGCGCGGCGCCGAGGCGAGCACGACATTTTTGTCTGCCCGCGCGTCGACAAGGTTGCGTTCGAAGACTGTGCGCCGCGCCGAAGCGCGAGCTCAGCTCTCTAGACAGGTGAACGCGGCGCCGAGGCGAGAGCGACATGCCGGCCTCTCGCGCGGCATGTGCGCCGCGGGCCGTCCCTTTCCGCGCAGTTTGCAGCACGGGTGACAGAATGTCCATGTCAGGGCTGGACCTGAACGCTGTCTTGCTGGACTTTGGCTGTGTTTTTGTTTTTCGTTGTGACAGGGAGGTACAGGACAACAGGTAGATCAGAACGAACAACAAAACGAAGCCAAAGCGAAAAACAACGTTCGGGTCCAGCCCTTGTCCGTGTTGAGTCAATCAGCACTCACTTTCTCTTGTTGTTTGACAGGTCGGATGGGACCCTCTGGACAGGGTCCCCTATCGTCGGGCTCGGTGGCAGAGTGGGAGTGCATAGCACGAAGGAGAAGAGATAAGTAATAAGGAGGAAGATCGAGTGTGCAGGTTTTTGTCCCCAGCTAGGCCTTGCCTACGGGTCCCCACTTGTCTGTGAAGAATTCGCTGGGTGCCAGGCCCGGTCGTCGGTACGCTATCCCCTCTTGGACGCCCCCCCTTCTTGGACGCCCCCCTCTTGGACTCCCCCCTCTTGGCCGCCCCCGAGTGCTTGTTTCCTTACTAATGCTTTCCGCTGGGTTCTCAGGGCCTTGGGCTCTCCAGTCCTGTTCCTTGCCTTGTGTTGCATCTTCGGGGGGCCTTGGCTGTCCCGTCGCGCCGCGATTCACGTCGAATCCGTGTCGAATCCGTGTCGAGCGCGTCGAATCCGTGTCGCATCCATGTCGGATCCGTGCCGAATCCGTGTCGAATCACCCTCGAAATCCGCCTCGAACTTACGCCAGAGTGTACAAGACGCCAGAACGAATTTCGAGCACCAAGAAAGTACCGTTACTGGATGTTTTTCACATGTCGGGACCTGGGAGGCGATGTTCCTTCGGCACTTCGCTAGCGCGTCGAGCTGACACTGTTTCGATACCTTTCTGGGTGCTCGAGATGCTTTCTGGGATGTGGTCCTGAAGTACGATGGGAACCCGGTCCTTGCTTGAATCGGCGTCCAAAGCATCGGCGCGAGTTATCAGAATCGTCACCGTCACCGTCGCCGTCACTAGCATCGGCGCTCAAGTACGATGGGACCCCGGTCAGCATGGTCGTCCAAAGTCTGGTTCCTTGCTTGGGCTCCCCGGTCTTGCCCCTTGCTTTCCCTGCTCGCTCCTGCCACCTGGGTTGCCGCTGTGCGTTTTTGAGTTTTGTATGGGTGGCCATTTGGGCCGAAGGGGTCCGCCGCACAGCGTCCGTTCCACGCCTCCTCCTCCTTCCTCCTGTTGCACGCTCCCGCTGCTGCGCAATGTGGTGACAAGACCAGCAAAAGGGCTTGCTCCTTGCTTTGGGTTCGTCGTGCCCCCCGCTTCTGCTCCTCGGGCCAGTCTTAAGTCGGGCGTGTCCCCCTATAGGAGAATTACTCAAAAATGGTCAACAAATAGTATGGGGACGATTTTTGAATTTTTGGTTTCCATTTTGGGGCATTTCTTGATTGTTTAAATGCTTCGCTCATTCCGCCGGCCCTGGAGCGCTATTTGGGGCCTCTTGGGGCCGTCTTGGGGGCTTCTTGGGAGCGTCTTGGGGCTCCTTGGCGGCGTATTGGGCTCCCCTGGGGCCTCTTGGGGGGCTCTTGGGGGCCCCTTGGGGCGGGAGGGGGGGTAGTCGTTGGCAGCCCCCGCCTCGGAGGCCACGATCCTCGTGAGGGGTGGCGAAAAATAGCCTCCCCCCTGGGGATTGATTTTTTCACCAGTTTGGGGCATTTCTTGATTATTTCTCCTTTTCGTCAAAAAAAAATACAGCTGTAGGAAAACATGCCCGACCGAAGGCCCGTCCCGTTCCCTGCCAGGGCTCCTCGGGCT